TAAACAAGATTCAAGAAGAATCAAGACCAAAAATCATATTAACAACTCTAGAAAAATAGCTAACAGAAGTAATATACCAATAAACATTAAAGATTCATAGTATAATAATATATTGTGGAAAAAGAAGAAGAAAGATTTGTTTGCAAAATGGATATATGGACTGAAGTCCTAATGAAACTTAGATACGAATTCATCTTAAAACACATTAGCACCTTGGCCAAAGAGTACCAAAAATTAGAAAAGAAAAAAAAGAATACACTATTAGAGATATTAGAAAAGATTTTTATAGAGCATTTTAGAAATCAGAAGATCTTTAACGAAATACAAGAAAAATTTCTAAAAAGAAGACCAATTGCTAGAAAAAAAAAGAAAAGAAGAAAGACCAAAAAAAGAAGAAAAGAAGACTCTTATATCCAGAATATGGAAAAAAGAAAATTTGAGCAGACTGACCAAGATCTAGAAATAAAGAAATTAAAAGAAGACTCAAGGTTCTCTGAGAAAGAGAGAACATACAGAAGAATATTTTTGGAAGAAACTTATAGAAGAAAAAAGAAGACACAAAGCTATAAAACAGGAAAAAAAAACTATAGAAAAGGATATGAGAAGACTTCCAAGGGCCAGTCTCTAATTGAAAAAGACAGATTAAACTAGAAGAAAAAAAAAAGAAATACAAATATAAATAAAAGAATCTTGGCAATAACCCTGTATTAAAAAAGAAAGTTATGTTGTTTATTAGAAAATTAGATTTAGAGTTTTGTTTTAAAAAGAAAAATAGTTTAGAAAGAGAAAATTGCTAACATAATTTAGTTAGAAATTTTTCATTTTGAAACTATTTTGTAATAGTTTTTTAGGCTAGCTTGGTATAGCTTTTCGGTATAGGCAATAGCCTTAACTAGTAAGGCAAACCACACTTGGGTATCCTTAAGGGCAGCTGAGTGATATTAGATCTATAACTTAGATGGTTTGAGTGTATTTTGTATATATGCTTTGATCTAATAAAGATATCGGCGAGGCTACTAATATATAAAAAAAAAAGATTCAAATAATGTACTTATATCTTAAATAAATGAATAGAGATAGTGAGAATACATAGAATCAATATATTTGTTATACTTTAGAAAAAATATGGATTTAAAGTTGGGTAATAAAGAGAATTTGAGATATACAGTTTAATGACAAAAATTATATGCATATAAGTTTTAATCCTTAACATAAGTTAAAGTGCTTTTGGTTTAATTTCTTTTATATATCAGTTAAATTTTATATAAGGAAAAATCTAATTTTACACGTAATGTATTTACACAGATATTAATTAATTGATTTGCAAATTTGTGTAATGTGCAAATCAAAACAAATTCTATAAAATGAAAAGTTAGACATTGCCTAAGGTTAGGGTAAGTGTGATTGTGGATAGATGTGAAAAATAACTTATACCAAAAGTTTACAAAGAATTTTTTTTGTTAGAAGCCAAATGGTGGTTTTATAATCAAAATTTTGAGATATTGGCTGGCTTTTTTATATACCCATGTACAAACATCTATATATAATTAGAAATTGTCTTTATATAATTACTATGATTATATAAACAAGTAGCCTAGTAGCAGATTTAATTTGATAGTTAGGTTTTTTAGTTTTATATTTATACTTTAGATTTTTTTTATTAGTTTAATCACTTTCTTATCTATTTTATTTTAAAAATATTTTCTCTTCTTATATTTTTCCTTATTTTATTTGCTTTTTAAATTTTTTGTTAGGGAATGTTTCTTCAGATTGATAATATGTTATATAGGACAATAATCCTAACAAGGTTAGTAAATATCTACTATAAACTTTTAGAATATAAATTCTTAATAAATTGAGAATTCTAAACAAGATAAACATAAACCACTTAGACAAATCACACCTAGATCTTTTTTACTAAATCTATTTTTAGATTTTTATTTAAATGACTAAGTAATTTTTTATTAGTACAGGTATAAGTAACTTATTAGATAGATTAGTCTCTAAAAAAATATTGTTATTGCCAATTTAAATAATAAAAAAAAGATCATTAAAACAAAAAAAAAACAAAAAAAACAAAAAACAATAAATATAATTTTTTAATAAACATATTAACTTTAAACCAAGAAAAATATTTATAAAATTTACAATATATATTTAAAGCTAGTACATATCAAAAAATGTATATAATTTTATTTTAAATTTTGTAAAAAAAATTTAAATCAAATATAAAATAGGTAATATCTACTTTAAATAATTTAATTAAATATTGTAATAACTAAACTAAAATTAGCTAAAACTAAAATTTTTTATTAAAAATCAGCTTTATAGATAAAATTTATAATAAACAAGTATAAATAGATTTTAGTAGATTTTATATTTTTCCAACATATATACCCGTGGTCTATGCCCTGCAGTAATTTAGAGTGCCAAATTTTGATTTATACCCGGGTATAAGTATGAGAGTATCATACTTATGTACCCAGGCGTATAATGGTAAAACATATCAGAAACATGCAGTATATCCCCTACACGGATACTAAAATGGGCTGGGAAATACCCCAGGAACACATGTTGGGAAAATACGATAAATTGAAAACCCCAAATTTTCAGCTTCAGCATCATCTCCATTTATTAAGATATCGCATTTACCTAAAATTTTATTAAAATCTTTTTTTATAAAAAAAACAAAAAAAATTAGTATTAATAAATTTTTTTTTTAGGCTTAAAAGCAACCGTTGATATAGTTTGTCCGGTTACTCCACCAAAAGTGAAAGTCGAATATTTAATATGCTCAAAGTAATCAAATTCTATCAAAAAATAACTAATTAGTAACTTCGTCGTAAGAGTATAGTTATATATATAATATAATTATATGTATATATATTGTGCGTAAATTAGTCTTTGCATCATATTAAAATAATTATAATCCCGTTAATAGTATTTAAATTTTGCCCTGATGCAAATTAAATTTTACGTACAGTATATATATTAGCGAATCAGCAGAATTTGATAAATAGAAACCTTATCAGCTGTAGCACTATCAAATTTAAAATTGGATACCATCAAATTTGGTAAATGAACTACAGTTGATGATTCTCTGCTTTTCCTACCTAATTCTACAAATCCTCCGATATGATATATAATAAAGAGTTACGTACCGCCATTGAATTTTTCTATCAGTTCGTCTTTAGTAAAATTACAACTTGTAATCAAAAAATATCCATTTTGATTAAGTAAAGAAAGGATTTTTGTAGAATAAATGTCACTCAAAAGTTGATTTGTAGACGTTCGTTGTGAAGAGAGACTTATGGCATCAAAAGTGCCTTTGTCCAATATAAAATCGAACTTTTGTACGTTATCCGAACCATCAGTATCATTGATGATACGTAATACGTCCTCACTAAATAAATCAGCGACACGATACGAAATCACGTTGTAAAATCCACGACTTCTTGAAACATCATTGGCTAATTTTATTGCATTTGATGAATAATCTATTCCGAATAAATTTGTAAAATTATGGCTCGCTAGCTTCATAAGTAGGTGTCCATTTCCACAGCCAACATCAAGGATTGCTGAGGATTTTGTAGTGGTTTTGGATAGAACCTTAAAATAAATGAATAAATAAAAAAATAAATAAAGTGCTAAATGATAATGTATTAGTTAATTGTAATGATAAGAAGTTCTTACCCAATTTACCATTTTTTCCACACTATCTTTACCAAACCTTTCACAAAAGCTCAAGTTATTTTTTATGGTTTGATACAATTAAGAAAAAGATAAAATTTTACCAAATTTCACCAATATCACCAATATCTTTAAAAATTTTATTTTCTTGGTCATAACGTGATTCCCAACTTTTAATTATTAAAATTTAATTAGCTGAAATTTTTTTCTTCGATGTAAATAAGAAGCTTTAAACATACTATTCCTTTGTTCCAAGTTCAGAAGGTTCAAAATCATCAGTTTCACAAGAAAAAGGTTGTTGAGTATTAGAATTTGACATTTTTTAAATTTTCAAGATTAAAAGTTGATGAAAATCGTAATTGCGATAAAAAACTAAATGATTAAATGATTGGTTAATTTCAATACAGTTTTAGTGTATCATTGCTACTATCAAACTCTGCTCATCGAAATCTCGTCAGTGTTAGCGATGCAAAGAACATTTGATTTACCACCTATAATTTATCCTACATAGTATAAGATAACTTGTAGGTTAGAATTAATTAATTCAAGAGGTGGGTGATTAATCAAATGAACATAACGGTCATCATTATAAGTACTGCACCTAAAAGTGGGACATTAGTGAAAGTTTATTTTTATTGGTCAATAATGATCAGATGGCTCGTATTAAGGGTATTAAGGCTGGTAAATTTTAATCCAAGCCAGAATTTATTTAACTCTATTTTAACGCTAAACTTAACTGCTAATTGACAGTGAAATTTTTAATGATATATTTATGAATTTCTTGTAATGATACATTTTAAAGTAAAAAATATATATATATATATATAATGAATATGCAGAATAATTCTACGTAAACTAAATTAATGTTAAAAAAAAAAACATTTGGTTTTTTAAAAATATAAAATTTTTTTTTCTTATTTTTTTTATCCAAGACCAATTATATGATATTATTAATTCAATAAAAGTAAAAAAAGCGATTTTTGAAGCCAAATTAAAAGAAAAATAATGCAGTTACATTGATATATATAAATCTATATATTTCTTATTTTACTGGCTTTCGGCTTTCACTTGTGAAGAATTTTCAACAATTTGTTTGGCTTTCTGTTCGTTAGCAATTCTTACGGCATCATTGTAAACATCTGCTACTTGTTTATAAGCAGAGCAGTAAAGTCCAGCGAGTTGTTTTCCTGGAGTAGTGTCTAGGGCTTGTTTGGCCGTGTCTTGAACCTGCGATACAACCGTGTCCACTTTGCCTTGTACCTGATATTTTTCGTTAAGTTGAGTAGCTGTGTTGACGACAGTTCCGGAGACATTATATTTTTCATCCAATGATTGAACTAAAAATATAAATGTAGTCAAATATGTATAAACGAATATTTTTCAAACCAAATTAAACACCAATAACAACCTGCTGTACCCAACAACTTACGTTGTTCTTGGATAGATTTTAAATAGCTGCTAAAACGAGCACTGATGCCATACTTTGCTGATAAATTTAAAATTTTAATGAGAAAATGATCAAAGAAAGATAATGAACGAAAGCAATATTAAGTAATATAAGATATAAACCGTCAAATGCGAGGCCCTGTTCGATAATGGCATCTTGAAGTTTATATCCAGCTGCTATGATTTCAGCCAAAACGCGTGCTTTTGGCTATTGTAAAATAAATAAAAGATTGTAGTAATACAATGCTTGATAAGTTTAAAAATTCGGGACGAATTAAAAATTCATTGTCGCGACCTGAACATTCTTTTTATCACATCTAACCTTATCTTCTTGAGTTATACCATCACCCTCTGGGAATTCTTCTTCTTCATGTGAGTCATCATCAGTACCTTCGACGGTTATTTGAGAGTCACCAATAACAGCGTTGGTCAACATTTTAGCGGTTTTTGCAGCAGTTTCTATTATATATATAAAGCTAAGTTGTAATGTCGGATGAAATTTAAATTTGATTATAGTTATATTTTATTTTATACCTCGTTCAAACGTAATATGGGCAATTTGTTTGTTGCTACTTTCTTCCCTATGTAAATAGATTGACCATATGATTAAATAATTTCAGGATGATCCATAAAATGATATATCTAAATTAAGAAACTCACTTTATAAGTTCAAATTCTTTAATCTTTCCACAGAACAAGAAAAAATCCTTAACTAATCAATTTGCATAACATAAATAAAGAACAATGTAAGTAAAGATTGTAAAAAGATACTTTTAATAGTAAACGTTTCTTTGGAAAGTACAATTTCTTTAACAAACCTTGTTTTTCAGAAGCTGCTTCTGAAACATTGCGCACAGTAATTTTCTTGGAACACTGTTGGGTGGACATTTTTATTTTATTTATAAATTTATATATTTTATATATTTATATATAATTTTTAATTTTAGTGCGACAAAGTATTTTTTTTAAACTTGATCAAATTTTTTTTTAAGTTAATGAAGAGGCATCACCTTATTTATATAAATTTTTTGGAAACCTCATGATATAATGATTACGTGATAATTTTTGAGAGTGTACTTTTAGGCTGACGTATTATTTAATCAATCGATTAAACTCGTGAAAATGGTGTGAAAGAATGTAAACTGTTGTGATGATTTCCTGTTGAGCAACTTTGTCACCCAAATTCTTTTGATAAATAATAATCACATGATTCTAAACAGAGGTGTCTCATGCAATCAAGCAATTGATGCACCTAGGAGAAAACATTCAAGCATCTTTGTTGATTGCCGAGTATGTATAGTGTTGATTTTCAACTGCTTGCAGCATGTTCGATCATAATTTCTGCGCATTCATTCATTTATACCCCGGATGATTTCCATGTGCAGTTCGTTACACTTGTACTCGAAACCTGCCAAACCAATTAATATCAACAAGATGATCTTCGGATCTTCTCTAGTGTTAGTATTTCGTATCATTTACGCAATAAGATCGTCTCTATCATCCTTATAACCATTCCATTTGAGGAAATGTGACGAAAAGTGATTCAAACAGGGTCTTTGCTTAGCTAATATAATAATCTTGGATTCAAAATTCATCTTCGGCATGTGGTGTAATAAATTCTAAGTAACATTTAAATGGGCGCAAAAAAATTTACATGTGATTGTTCTTAAGACAGGTTAATTTGGCGAATTTATAACTTATTTGTTTAAAATTTCTCTGTACAAATATTTCAGGCCACTCGCACATGCGATCACTTCATTTACCACCTATCTACAATACAATATTCTGTTTTTACATTGTCCTTTGTCATAATCTCTTTGATTTTTAAAAACAATTTTAAAACAATTGTGACAGTTACATAAATACTATTAAATAATTATTATACTAACTTGTCAGTGCTCTTTTTTCGCGTTACCTGTCAGTTGAATGTAAATCAAATCTCGGTGGCAGAATAATTTTCTTTCAACATTAATTTATTGTACTGTATATATAATAATTTACCGTTTATAATTTGAATATATACATATTCACTAAAAAAAATTGATACGTAAAATAAAACAGTTACGCAAATATACAATTTCAATAGACATTATACAAACAAACAAATTTAGATTTACAATAGAGATAGGTTTAACTATGTACGCATATACCTACCTACGTACTTACGTACGTACGTACATATCAATATCTGATATGTAACGTTAAATTCGTATTTCTTAAACTATAAGGCTTAATAGAAAATTTTGCCTGCTTTAGTCATACGTACGTACTATAAATTTATCTCTGATCTACTTGTTTAAAAAATTAATTTATTTAAATATATCGATATATATCTTTAAAAAAAATCTATACTTATCGTTATATATATATATATATATATATATATAGTATTACAGTAAAGGCTTTATTAAATTGCTAATTTAAAAATATAGCTTTTACTATAGTTTAATAATTAATTTATTTTTATATTAAATATAGCATAGTATTGTACAAGTTACTCTCGTTATAGTGAGGTCCTTGGGCTGTGAAAATTTCTTCACTATATCGAGAGATTCACTATATTGAGAGTAGTGATGCCGTAGAATCGTCCCAATGAAGTTGAATGATAGTTGTCACATGCCGTAACTATAGTAAATAAATAAGTAAAGTTACGGCTATAATGTCGTAACTTTACTATGTTACTTACTATAGTTACGGCAAGTTACAGCCATGTGACAACTATCATTCGACTTCATTGGAACGATTCTACGGCATCTCTAATTGAGAGCCTCTCGATATAGTGAAGTCGATAATAGCAAGTGTTACACAAAGTAATATAGTTGCGTATGGCATCTATTCCATTAATTTTATTGGCTAACCCGTGTCACGCGAGACATTTTGGTATATTCATTTTAGAAAAAATCTTCATATATCTTCTATTGAGAGTTGACTAATTAACTTCATTATATCGAATGAAAGTTTATTAATAATGATTTGTTCTAAACTATAACGAGAGGTCACTATAACCAGTATTGTCAATGGACATGGACGTGGACATGCACTGTCCATGGACAGCAAATATTGTGTCCAAGAAAAATTACTATGTCCAAACAATATATGAGTGCGTGAGAATGAAAACCTGTAACTGATCATAGTAAATCATTATAATCAGTTCCAGGTTTTTATTCTCATGCACTCATATAATAAAATTCTGTAAATAATGTACGGGCTATTTGATATAGGTTTTACAATCATAGTTAAAAAAAATCCCGATCTTATTACGTAGCAAAACTTTTTCACGGTTTAAAAGATATTTAAGTTTATTATCTATTGCCATTTGCAAAAGGATATGTCTTTGATCAAATTCTGCACATCGCAGTTTACACACATGATTATTTAATTGTTCGATTGTAAAGTATTTTTTAATAAAAGTTAATGCAAATAAAATATTCTTTTAGATCAAAGATATATCATTTTGCAAACAGCAATTACAAGCATGCAAGTATTAGTTTCACGCATTTAATTGTAATAGTGACGGGTTCCAGTTTGTTATAAATAACTTTATTATATGACACTCATAAAAATAAAAAAAATTATATACTTGCGCATTTATAAAGGATAATTGTTTTAATAGGTTAAATCACAAGATAAAATAATTTTATATGATATAACTTTATTTAAACCTTTCAAAGAACTCAGATAATATATATTTGACTTTTGTTAAGCTTATAAAAAATTTAAAATTGATATATATTGAATATGTTTAAAGTGTTCTGATATTGAAATATATAAAATAATAATATTTAAAAAAATTTGTTCAAATAAGCGAATAGTTATTATTAGAGCTTTATAGCACTAATGTATTATTTTGCAAGGTGAAATTAAATACTAAGATTTGTTTAATTTTGTTTTAAATATTAGCGAAGAGCTTTGTTAAAAATATATTTATAAATAATTGCAATAAAATTTAAGTTTACCTATAAAATTTTATTCAACTACAATCACTTAAAAAGAGTTGATAGTTCCTATTTCATATTGATATCAATTGTAGAATAAGTATTATTTATAGCAAATTCATCATCATTTGCATATTCTTCTTCAACATCTTCCTCAAATTATTGCCTTTTTTCTTCTAATATATCAGTCCATTCTTGCAAATAGTTATTAAATTTTTTTTCACTTACATTTTTACTTTCAAATTTGTCATCTGAAGATTCTTCCATTTCTTTATTTTTTGAAATTTTACTAGTTTTTAAATCTTCAGAACTTAAGTTACTTATGTTATTTTAAAGTAAACATTTCAACATTGATATTTGTTTGTTCTACAGAATCTATTTCTATAAATGAATTAGACTGCTATACAAAAATATTGTTATCATATATCTGAGTTTGATCAATTTCTAAATTTGTTTGAAGCTGATAATTAAATATAATATCTGCATATAATTTGCTCATTTTTAGAACTTTGGCTAGCTAATATTTATTAGCAATATTTTAATTTAAAATATAAGGGAGATGGGAGTATTGTGGATAGGAAGTATTGTAGTAGTCAAAATTGGGTGAATTTTATACTATTCGATTTGTTTCATCAAGATGAATTGAATAGTATAAAAATTATCCAATTCTGATTACTAGATCACAAAATATTATTATTTATACAAAATATAATTTTTTTTTTTTTTTTTTTTTGTTTTAGCGATCTTTCCTTTATTATTTAAATTGGTATAGAATATCCCTGTAGTATAGATGCAGATATTTGAAAATGTATAGTTACATCCAATTGACGTGTCGTCATGTCAAAAGTGTCATAATGACGTAAATCATAACAACTGACATTTGCCATAACTAGATATAGTAATATACTGATATTTGTCATAACTAGTTATGGTGATACAACAGGTTACAGTAATATGGCAATATAACAGGTTACGGCAGCACCTCAATCAAGTAATCAAAGACAAGTTTTTAATTAGTTAGAAATTGAAAAATTAGCAAGACACAAATCATCTTTTTTCTTTAAAAATTTTATTGATATAGATCGTTCAAGCTCAACAAATTACTAACTGGTCTAAAAAAAAATAGCCATTTTATTTTTAATGCTCGATGTTTTAAAATAAATAATTGATACCTTGATACAAATGTACGACTGTCTTTTAACCTTTATAAAACTATAATAAATACAGCTATTCTGTTATTCTCTTCATACAACAGATAATAAAGGTTACAAACTCTTTTCAAAAATATATTCATATTATCTATACTATTTTCAATGCGAAGTAGCAACTACAGAATTACTATAGGTTGCCTATACAATCTTTTAAAATTTAAATACTGTATTATTAATGAAAAAAGTTTACTTTTTGTAACTTTCGCTAATGACTTCAATAGGTTGATTCCATTGCTGTTTCAATAAATTTGTAAAACATTAAAAGAAGAAGCCAGTATAACCGAAGTGGAAACTTTGGTAGCTAGTTAAATAGAAACCTTTTTATTCGACTTTTTTTCAGAAGGTTTAAAGATTATAAAAAATAGTACAAGTACATTCAAGTATTTAATTCTATAAATATCACTATTGATTGTGATACTTGAGCGTTATCATGATCATTATTTAATCAATTGATTTAGATGCTTGAGAACAACCAAAATTATGTTATTTCGCTTTGTTTAGTGTTAGTATTAGAGTGTTCTCAAGCATCTCGATCAATTAATTAAATTATGATAATGATAATGCCCAAACATCACAATCAATGATCATATTTATAGAATTAAATGTTTGAGCGTACTCTTTCTATTTTCAAAATCTTTTCTGTCTTCTAAAAAAACCTAATAAATTTTTTTTTGTTCAATCAGCTGCCAAAGCCTCAATTTCAGTTTCACTAGCTTCATCTTTTGCAATTTTATCAATTAAATTTTGATATAACAGCAATATAATTAACTTATGGAGTTATTAGTGAAAATTGTTTTAGAGAAACAAGTAAACTTTTTTTTAAAAAAAAATTTTTTTAATAATTCAGTAGTTGCTATACAATACAAGTAAATTTTATAGCACAAAAATATTGCAGCACAAGTTACATGTTACGGCAAATATCAAATGTTAAGCACAAGTCAAATGTTACAACATACGTCAAGTGTTACGGCAAATATTAGTTATGGTTTTTTGATGTATCATCATGTCTTTGAGTTATGTCCAATTAATATTAAGATCAGTTATAATACTAGCATATATCTGCATCTATACCCTGTAGTGGCTAAACTATTTAGTAGAACTATTTTATGTTAGTATTAATAAAGTATTACTCAATCTATTTAACAAGAACCTAAAAATAAGTTCTGCAAGAAAGATCTAGATATGACCTATCTAAGTAGTTTGTCTTTACCTTATCTGGGATTCTTAACTTATTGAGAATTTATACCCAAGAGTTTATAGTAGGTGCCCACTGATATTGTCAGAATCACTGCCTTATATAATATATCACCAATTTGAAGAAAAATTCTCATCAACAAAAAAATTTAGAAAGTAAAATAGGGTAAGAGAAATATGAGAAAGAGGATATTTAAAAAAAACATATAAGAAAGCGAATATACTAAAAAGGTGAAGAAAAAACAATACAATACAAGACTATAGAAACTAATTAACAAATTAGTATCTGTTAACCAGAATACTTATTTACATGATCATAGTAATTACATAGAACTCAGCTGATATAAAAAAAATTAAACTAAATGCACTTTAATCTGTGCTAAGAGCTAAAAATTATATATATATAACTTTGTCATTAGACTGCATATCTCAAATTCTCTTTATTGCCCCAACTTTTAAATCTATATTCTATTCTAAAGTATAACAAATATATCGACTTCATGTGTTTTCTTTGTATTGTCTTATTTACTTGGTGTGTAAGTCTTTAAAAATCTTTTGAATCTTTGATATTTGGGGTCATATTCCTAAATAAGAAATAAATAACTTTCTATATAGCCACGTGTTTGTTGTATTTATGTTACAGAGTCATCGAATATAGAAGTAGTAAACAATATTGATCTTTTGACAGAGAATAGTCTAATCTCCCACTATTTGTCAAAAATTGGTTTTGGAAGTATTAAAGTAACAAGAGAAGTTTTGGTTTTGCAAGTTTCTAACTAAAAAGAGTTTTTCTAAAAGTTTGTTATGTTCTTTTGTCTTTAGACTTCATGAGTTTTCTTTTCTACTTGCTATTCTTAGAGACTCTTTTGGTTTGGATATCGAACACAAAAAGAAGTTTATCTGAAAGTAAGCAAGAGAGCTTGATCTTTTTGCAAACTATTCAAAATACCTATTTCTCAGTATATCATATTTAGAGACTTTGTTGATAACAGTTCATATCAAGAAAACTTCAAGTTGTTGTTAACTTCTGGTCTTGAGTCTTCAACTTGCTTTCGGTACTAGTTGGTCTAAATGATTATTAGGAAGAGTTGCTTGTGCTGTTTATTGCTTTATAGCAAAATATAAATTTTTGTATATATTTGAATTAATTATTAAATATATATTAAATCTTTAACAATTAATAACTTTTAATCCTCTGGTCCATTTTGAATAATTTTACCACCAAAATAACTATCTCAATAAAATGATCATAACAAGTATAAAATTGTTAAATTTTAATTACAGGGTTCTAAAATTAGTATTGATTTATCTTATTTCAAAAAATTATATTTGTAAATCTGCAAATTTTTATATATAAATCTTTAATGATCTCAGAATTTCGTAATTAGATTTTAACAATTTTGTGTTTATTAGAATTATCTCTCTAAGATAGTCATTTTAGAGATAAAATTATCCAAAACAGACCAGTAGATCAAAAGTTATTTACTGTCAAATAAGTGATCACAATACTCTCTCCTCTTTAAATTTGGTTTTTATATTCTATTTATATATTAATTATTTATATCTACAAATATATATAATATAAAGATTTTTTTTACAGTATTTTATTTTTTATAAACCATAGTTCAAATAATAATAATTGTATAAAAATCTATATATTTATTAAAAGGATTTATTAGTAGAAACTTTAACCTGTCCATAATATCTTTGCCTTTTTTATATATAATAAAATTATAAATATAATTATACTTACTATTAATCAATCACACTATACTTATTACTGAAATAGATTTTTAAAAAAATCTTATTTCATCTCCATTAGAGCAAATTAGAATTTTTATATATAAGAGCAAATCTAATTTAGATAATTATGTTCTTTATAATTTTATCTCTTCAAAAAAAGTATTAAAAAATTGTTTTTTAAGTAAAATAGATCAAAAACAATTTCATCTTCAAATTTTAATTTCAGGTTTTAGACCTTAAAATAATTTCATTAGCATATGGGAGGGAGTCAGTAGAAATGAGACAAATCATTTTTAGTGAAATTTTTTTAATTTTTAAATTACAATTACTTGACAACTACTTAACCAATTTTGATGATTTTTTTTTTATTTTAATCTTAGAATTATCTAAAATTAAAATAAAAAAAAATTATTAGATTTAATAAGATAGTTAACAAAATATTTAAACTTAAAGTTAAGAAAACTTTTACTTAGAAAAAATTTGTCCTATTTCTACTGACTTCTCTCTATATATAGACTATACCAATTTGTATACAAAAATCTCATACAATTCTAAAACTTTTTCACAGCAATTATATTTATACAGATTCTAAAAATTCAAGTTGCAATTAAATCTAATTCTTCTGTTAAAAGACTTATAAAACACCAATATTGATAAATATTATTATTAAATTGACTTTATATATTCATATCAAAAAAATATTTTTTAAGCAAAAATCATCAAACTATAAATGATAATAATATATTAACTATAGATCTAGATTAGTATAGTTAATATTAAATGTAAATTTTTTTAAATAATAATCAGGATGCAAAAGATAGGCTAAAATTAATAAAGGTTGATTTTAATTACAACATTAATATTCTATATAATATTCTGCACAGTTTGATTTGATTTGAGTTTTTATACAAACTTGGACTCGAATCAGAAAATCAATTTGAGTTTATATTTAAACTCAGAATTATGCTATTAAAACTCAGAATCAAATCAAAACCTGAATAATATATTTGACAAATTAAAATCTACTTATAGCTATTATCATAATTTTTGAAATATCTAGTAAAAATTAGCTGAATATTCTTTGGCTAATTTTTACTAGGTGTTTTAAAAATTATAATA